AGCTGCGCCCGATCCGGGTAACGCTCCGCTCCTCGCGCCACGCCCGCCCCCCCGGGCGCGCTCCCTGCTGAGGGGCCGCTCAGACCCGGCGCCTTCCCGCCTCTGTAGGGCGGGGGTGGCACAGGCGGCTCCTCTGCCGCCGCACACCGCGAAGGGGGAGGCAGCGCCGCCTGCAGCAGGTGGAAACCGGTCCCGGGCGGCTGCGCCCGCTCCAGCTCCCCGCCGTCACCTTCCACTGACCTACTTGCGAGGCAAGGGGCGGGGGAGCCGGGCGGCGGACTCCTTTTTTATCGGCGGAAGGATCGCGTTTCGTTTTACCACGGGACACGAACGCTTGCGGCGGAGTGGTACCGGAGTGGGTGAAGAGGCACGAGCTCCCGCGCGCGGGGCCCGACCAGACTGTGCGCAGCTCGCCTGAGGACGGAGCCACCGACCGCGCCCGTGCACGCGCGCACACACACAGATACACACACACGCACACAGATACACACCGCCCCGCTGAGTCTGCGAACCGGATTCGTCCCAATATGAGCAGCCTCGTCCGCGCTGACAGACACCAGGTACCGCGGGAGGCGCCGCCATCGCCTCGTGGTGGCCGCCTTTGTTCCGGGCCGAGCCAGGGGCTCTGCTGTGCGCCCGGCACCGCGCTGGGGGGACATGGGGGAGTGACCGCCCTTGGCTGGGGAGAGATCCCCGCCGCCGCCGTGGGGTCGAGGGATGCGGCGCCGCTTGCCCCTGCCCCGCCGGGGCCCCGCGTGCTTCGCCCCTCTCCCGCATTGCCAGCGCCCTGGAGGGGGCATTGGCCTCCTCCTGCGCCGGGGAGTGCGGGGTGGGCCCGCCTCAGCGCGGCCTGAAGCGAAGGAGCGTGCTGGAGCCCTGCAGCGCGCCCTGCCGCCCTTCAAGGTCAAGTGGTGTCCATCCGTCCTCGGACCGACGGATGGGCCGCGGGCAGCGCTGGTAGCTTGGACTTCGTCAGAGGGGTTGCCAGCTGGGGCTGAGGATGGAAACCACAGATTGGGGGGAGGGCTTTCTCAACCCGTGGGTCACGACCCAAAAATGGGTCTCAAGAATTATGAAAGGGTCACGAACAAACTTAAATGGTTTCTCCTTTAAAGGAGAAAACCAGGGCTTTTCCCTTGCAGGCTGGCAGAGCTTATCTGCTTGGGCCCCCCTCCCCACACACACACATTGGGGGACTGTGGCAGGGGGCAGCAGGTCAAAAGTGAGGCATGCTGGGTGGGGACTGGCCATCCACATTTGCAAATGGGCCTTGGTATGAGAAAGCTTGAGAACTGCTGCTGTAGGTCAGGTAGCCCTAGCAGCTGAAACATCAGGGGCCAGTCCCCAGCATTGCTTCTGCAGGGTTAGCTGTCACCTGGCCTCCACCTACTCTTACTGTAGTAAGAGTAAGATGTTTCAGAAGAACAAAGTGAATGGGATTAGCCTTTTCAGCACAAAGTGTCTACATCTGATTTTCCCCAAGGTGAAGTAGAGTGAAGACTGCCGAACGTCTTCTTGGTTCTGACCATTGCGAGGTTTCTGGTGGAATGAATAAAAATAAGAGCTAGATTGTTTGCTCTTTGATGCAGTGTGCAAAAAGACATTGGCAGGTTTTGGGATTGTGAGGGAGGCAGACCAGAAATGGAGGCTGACTTTGTATTTGTAATGCTAGTCAAAGAGTTTGCAGTTACGAGGGAGTGGGCTTCAATTTTCCTGAATCCTGCTAGGACCTACAAAATATGAAGCCCAACGAGCAGGTGTATTGTATTGGCTTATGTTTTGAAAACCATTTTTTGCAGTCAGAAACTTATATTTTGAAGCTAAGGTGGTCCCACCAGGGAAAAGTAATAGATCAACTGCAGCCACTGGGTCCAGCTGGACTGGTGCACTTCCCAGAAGTTTGTAGAGAGGGCGTGGCTTGGCTTTTCCAGGCAGTTGTGGGTTTAGTTGTCTGTGAAATTGTAAAGAAGCGTGGGTTAGTCTGACAAGGGAGGCAGGGCTGTGGAGCCAAGTCAGGGGAGAGCATTGGAATAAATCAAAAAGAAAGCAAGATTTTTTTTTATAGGCTTTCTGTGAGAAGCAGCAGAAAATAAAGGAAGAGGTTTGGAAGACAATATATTAACAAATGAGAAAAGTATGCAAGTTAGTGGATTGAAAACAAGAAGAGGGAATATACTGAAATTAATTCAGCAAAGAGAATACAATTGGGGAAAAAGTGGAGAAATTCCAAGAAAGAAAAGGTATACTAAAAGTGTAGGAAATTTAATTTAAAAATATTAAATAGAAGCTTGTGCTTTTAATAAAAGTATGTCTATGCTTTGAATAACTGTGTGTGTTATAACCGTTCTATTCTAAAGTGCTACAACTGTAACTTTTTGAGGGGAGAAGATTGCACGTGATTTTTTATTCTGTGCTAGAATAGTACATTTTTCAAGCCTGCTGTCAAAATGCTGGATAGAACATTATACATTCTTGGTAGGTATGTAGGTAATACTTGACGTGTAGTACATTTTCTTTTTAGGAGGATAGAGGGTGTTCTGTAGATCTTCCTTCCCATTCAATCCCTAATATGCCCATAGTGCAAATTTCTCTGAATCCCTGGTTTAGATTTTTTTTTTTTTTTTTTTTTTACTTACATGGTCCAATTTGTGAGACGTTTGGAACTACCCCTAAAGCTTATGTTCTTCTGCTTTATAGTGTAAATGTTCTAGTCCCTGGTGTCTTTTTCAAAATCTTTTTGGGTAAGCTCCTTTATCCAGGATTGGGTAAAAAATCAATGTTTAAATCAGAGTTTATTTATGTTAAATGTTTTCCTCTATAAGAAATTCTTAATGTAAAATTAAGACCACCTATGTTAAGGTCTAAACTTATTTTAAATAATTATTATGTTCCTTATTCATTTAATATTCAACCAGTCCATGTTTGCTGCTAAAACTTTAAAAGACCCAATTTGCAATGCATTTGGAGCAACCACTAGAGGTTGTATGTTTTGCAGTATTTAAAATGGCTTAATTCAGGGACGTCACTAAGCACTGCAACTCTGAAATGTTTAACCAATATCAGAAAACTAGTTTCTGCAGATACAGAGAGGACAAGTTAACCTAGCTCAGCAGACGTAAGGGATATAGTCACTGAAAGCAGTTGGTTCAGTGTACTATTTACAGGTAATTACTATTTAATAGATAAGTTATAAATGCAGTGCATAGTTTGGAGGGTTTTCTCCCTTGTATACCAGCACATTTAACATAGTTAAAACTAATCAAAAACTACAAAATGCTGACTTTCTGAATTCTGTTGAATTCCAAGTTATTTCCCCAAAGTTTTTACTATCAGTCATCAATTTTATAATAAATGCTATCTGTTTTCTAATGTAATGAAATGTAAATAATCAGAATAAATGGACATCAGATTTTTCTAATTGCTTAAACTTTTATATAGAGTATCTTCCTGGTTAGCATAAAGAACTATTGCTTTAAGTATAAATCATATATTTTACTTGCAACTTAGCATGTCTTGGTGGTTGAGAACCATTGTGAATCAGCCTTTGTTTACAAAAATAACTGAAAAGAAAAAATTCAAAAGAAGATTAAATTGACATAGCCAGTAGTTTCAAGTGATTGTGTCAAAGTTCTTGGTCTCTTGACATAAATCACAGTTAAAATTAATAATTTAAAGAGCTTTGATTTACATGGATCCACCATGTGCACACTGTTGCACACTGGTCAAAGGTATATTGATGTATCTTAAATACACTCTGCCTTATAATTTAGAACAGATACAATTCCAAACCTGTGAAAAGACACTTATTTAATTTATGTTGAATTTTAATTTTTGTGTTACCCCCAGTTTGAAGAATTTTGTTTCTAAAGATTTCACATTAAATGACAAATGGTGTATGAATAGCACAAGTGACTTAAATGTTTTGTGAACTAGGTGAGAGTTTTCAGCAATTGCACAGTTCTGTTTTAGAAATTAATTCCTTATTTGATCATAGGATTAAGTGTTTTGATAAATAATTTGGGGAACAATGCTTATGCAAGTGATTTGTAGGATTATGGCAAATTTCAAGTTCAGTTAAAAAAATTAGTGCAATACACAAACATGTTCTTTTGCACTTTATACAACTGCATCTATTCAGTATTATACGAAGTGCTAATTTAAAGCTTCTAGCCTTTAATGTTATTGTTCCCAGAAAATAGGAGGAAACCCCACTAAGTAGTTTAGGTTTAGGCATATTGGGGACGTCTACATGTGCACTTTAATGCATATTAGTACATTAAAGCATCACCAAAAATGTGCTCTTTAGTTGATGCACATTACAATAGGCTAATGTGCATTATAGCGGCACTAAAAAACACGCTCTTTAGTTAACATGCATTAAGATAGACTAATGTGCATTTTCTTAGTGCCTCGCAATGCAGGTACTAGATTTAATGTGCATTAACTAAAGCCCATTAATGCATGTGTAGATGAACTGCAACACTTTTTTAGGTCATTGCCTTACCCATTCAGTCTTGGCACTTCAGCTGAAAAGTGCAACTATTGTCATTTCTGATGGGGGGGGAATATTATGTTTTGAATGCCTGCGCCATAGAAACTTATTTAAGACCTTAACTGCTTCACAGGAGGCCACTAGCTTTCAGTTACCACTGAGCTGTGCAAGATTAGAGCTAGAAATGTGAGACTCTTGAGTTATTACTGATCTGTTTAGACATCTCATTCTCCAAACTCCACCCAATCAAGTGTAATTAAGTTCTTCCAGCAGTGCCATAACAATGCCAGAAGAAATACCTTCTACTTTTTTAAAGTACTTGACAGTTTCCTTAAATATTAACTTTTTGGGGAAGGGGCTGACTCTCTAGGGTGCATTGTATATAAAAATGGCCATATGAAAGTTGTTAAATACCAAATTCATTATTTAAGGCTTCTAAAAGTACCGTGTAACAGTAATGTTATTCACACATGTCACCTAACTATCAGTATTTAAACAAAAGTAGGGTGTTGGATGAACTGGAGAAATTATCTACTTTCTACCTAAATGCAGTTCTGTTTAGGGCAGACAAATTGTGTTTACCAAGAGTGAATCACTGCAGGCAGGGATTCTTAGGCATACTGCCACTGGTATGTGTTTAGGAGCCTTTTGGTTAGTTTGAATATCATAGTTTGGATATCAAAATATGGTTCTTAAACTAAAAATATTGATTACGTTTTCCACAGGACAGCCATATTTAGGTACAGGAACCCAACTGCATGGACCCAGTTATACAGTTGAAGTGTAAACTGGAAATACTTCAGTTTAGAGATGTTTGTGTCAAGTATAACAAGGTTTGGATTCAGATTGGAACTGCCAGGCATCCCTGCAAACTGTTATGTATCATATATACTCTAAAGGCTAAATAATAACTTAATATATCTGACATTATCTTTTATGATTTGAGAAGAAAATGCAGATGCAAATTAAGCATTCATTCAATTGATGAATGTGCCAGAAGAAGGAAGGCATTTGAAATTTATTAGTTTAGAATGTTTAGGGTTTGGGGTTTTGATGAAGTTCAAAAAATAGCAGAGTGTGATGCATAAAATTATTTATGAAACATTTAATATTTCCAGCCAGATACATACACATTCAGTTTAGTAGGAAACTTAGACTATTTCTATTGCTGTTATGTTTTTAATATGAGCTTTAAGTGTAGCTTGTTTTAAGGATATAGCTAAAAGACAAATCTGGCAATAAATTTTTGTTAATTTGTTTAGATTATAGAAAACTTTTTTTTTTTTTTAGGAGGTGCACCAATAGACTGTGTCAGCAACCAGCTTTTTTTGGCTGATGTGGCCAATAATGCCACGGATAAATGCCCCGTGCATGCACACAGCTGCAGCACAGCATGCTAGCAGTCAGGAATACAGCCAGCAGCATGAAAAGCAGCCAGGTCCAGCTGGGAAGGGCATGGGGGAGGGGCAGATTGAGGCCCCAACAGTAAGGGAGGGAGTGGGGCTGGGATGGGGGGGTTGTCCCGCTACTTTGCACACCCCAGGGAGGCCATGGAGGGACGTGTGCCCCCGGATCTCTGTGCAGGGAAGGGCGGGCTGGGGTGGTGCCGAGCTCTTCCTGGCGGGAGGTTTGAGCCAGGGCTGCACTTGGGACAGGTGGCGGTAGTGCTGGGAGGGGGCTATGGCAAATTTTGGCATGGCTGCAGTCCACCCCTATAGTCCTGTCGCTGCCTGCCCTGAGTGCGCCCCAGCCCAGTCCTCCTGCCAGGAACAGCCCAGTGCCAGCCCGCCTTCACCCCACGCACAGATCTGGGGGCGCACGCTCTCCCATGCCTTCCCAGGCTGTGTGCAGCACCAGGAGATGGCCCCGTGCCCCCTGGACGAGCCACTTGCAGCTCCATCCCCTGCTCTGCCCCGGCTGTGCAGCACCTGCCCCAGCCCAACTCCCTCCCTCCCTCCCTCCCTCAATCTTTCCCCCACACCAGGCTTACCAGCTGGACGCCACTCTCTCTGCTGCCCAGCTGCATATCAGAATCGGATCAGTATTAGCCAATATGGCTCTTTAAAAATCAACCATTGGTATCAGCCCAAAAATTCTCTATCAGTGCACCCCTACTTCTTTGCGTGTTTTGGTTTGTGTTTCAGAATACAGAGAATATGGTTACATTAGCTTTTTTGTGGAAATTTTCACAAAACACTGCTTTGATTTGTGTATGTTAATAAGAATTAGAGTAGTAGCAGTTACAGTCTGTTAAACTGGTTACAAGTTCTACAAATAGACATAGACATTGTTTTACACATACAATGATGAAATGTCATATTAGTGAAAAGTTCAAATACCTGAAAACACTTAGGCTTGAAATTACTGTTGTCTGCAGTGAAGCAGAGTGTACAACATAGACATTCATATAGGAGTTATTGTCAAAATAACCCATTCTAGGTTTACCTGAAGATTACTTGTTAGCTGGTACTCTGGTTGGAAACAAGCTATGCAGAGTTGAACCACAGGAATGAAAAAACACTGAATAGGAACAATGTGCATGTAAACTTAAAAGTAGGGTGTTTCAAAAGTTGGTGTTTGATCTGCTAGGTTAGGTCTAGTGTTATTTCCCAGAAGTCGGAATCATTTGTCACAGTTGAATTGTCTTTTTAAATAGGCAAATATGAAAGTCAAGTAACCGGCCATTAACTGCACTTGGATGATTATTCAACTAACTAGTGCTCTGTAAACAGATTCGTTCTTATTAGAAATGGCAGATATTAAACTTTCAGAAAGGAGCTAAAGTTTGGATGTGAAATTTCCAAAAATAGTTTGTAGCCTCTGAACCTTTCAGAGAAGCTCTTTTCTGTCATAATTCAGATTTATAAAGCTATCAAATATTCAAGTCAAAGAATTTAATTTTTAGAGTACATTATGATATAATGGGTTTAAAACCTATTTAGTTTCAGCAGACAACCTATATAGGTAGACATTGTAAAGTTTGAATTGTAAAATCAAAGTTCCCTTACTGACAGTCCCTTGTTTGTTGTCCATTAATGGGTGGTTTTGGTAACACAGTAAGTGTGTTATGCTGAAAGAATGCAGAATATTTTTTTAAAGTAGTCTCTCCAACAACGTGTTGTCCAAAAAGAGCTAAATGTTTGGGAATCTTAGACACTCTTATCTTTTTCTAATTTTTGCTTCAGAGGAGCAGCATGTCTTCTGCAAATGGTATGATAATCATGCTAACAAGGAAAAGTGGTTTTAAGCGGGGATGGGCAAAATACGTCCTGCAGGCCGCATCTGGCCTGCCATGGGATTCTGTATGGCCCACAGTGGATCCCTCAGTCCCTCCTGACCCAGGCAGAACATGCAGGGAGTAAGTCATGGCTCTGCCCTGCTCGTGGGGATCCCAGGCAATGTCTCCATAGAGGTCCAGCCTGCTTCATCTGGTGCCCCTGGCAGTAGGTGCAGGCCAGATGGGCCTGAGACTGGATAGGATCAATTGCCGCCCCCCTCCCCCCCCCGGGCGCCCCTTAAATGACTGTTCGGACCAAATAATTGCCCATCCGTGTTCTAAAGACTTACAAGTGAGAAGAATTTTGTGGGTGTGTAAATCTTGCTGTGATGCTATAATGAGAGGGAGGATAGGTTGAATTTAAAGTGTTAATTACTAGATTAATTTCTCAGAGAAACTGAAATTACTTATATGCATGTATTCTTCGTAATTTTGACTATGGAAATGATATTTTTAGGCTTTGGGAAAAAACAAAGGAAAATAGGCAAATGGAGCTAGCGTATGCTGATAGCAAGGTGATTCTTGAGTGTTTGGTCCCCAAAGAACTTCCCTAACACATTTTGTGACTTCATTCAGTTGTTACTATATAAAGAAAGTACAGTGTTACAGGGGGAGCATATGCCTTAACAGCTGTTAAAGAATTACCCTGTTGCTCTTGATTTGTCTTGGTAACAAAAACTAGCTCGGCAAGTATTGGTAGTACAAAATCTGGAGATTATTATCAGCAAACATTTGCCAGACTTATTTGGCAAGCATTACAGCCACAACAAACTCTTACATAGGACACACATGATTTGTGTTTTTTACTTGACTAGCAGAAATAGGAAATCTGATTCCCATTCTGACATTTAGTCAGAGATGCAGCCTGGCTGAAAACTTGAACAGGGGGTGACAAGTGTGGGCGGCGCAACACATTTCCCCACATAGGGTCAGAGTGCAAAAGCCTTGAGCATTTATAATTATAGTGTGTGCATGCATACTAACCCCAACAGAGGAAAAGGGCCAACTGCTTTAATGCTAAAAAGGTAGTTCTAAATGCATTTTTAGTTATATAAGTATGGGTTTGTTGTTGGGGGTTTTTTTGTTTGTTTAAGTATTATCATTCACCAGCAAATTCTGGTTATTTAAAAATCATTAATGTAAAATAGCAATATGCCATGGTATTTTTTAAAGATCAGAACTGTATATGTTCTGAATGTAACTTCATTTTTTTTTAACATATTCTTTAGAGGGAGAAAAATCTTGCTTTGTGTGTGTGGGGAAAGCAGAAAGTTAGTTTTTTGGAATGTGCATAGTTAAACATGGTGATGTTACTTGCCATGTCGGAAATTATGAACTTCTATAAGCAAATAGATTATATAGAAATAGTAAGGAGGTCTTGGCTGGACTGATACGTAGTAGTTTTAACTGTGATTTGACTCCTCTTTCTCTTATTTTGTTTTTATATTCTTTAAATGTTACTGCTAAATTTAACCCAGCTGGGTACTACTTGGCTCCTTTAATATCTCCAATTAGGATACACAAGTGTCACATAAATTAATATCGTGAGTCGTCAGGGGGGAAAAGATTGAAAGGGGAGATAATGAAAGAAAAGAAATTGCATGAGGGGTGCACTGATAAAGATTTTACTAATCTTTTTTGGCTGATACTGGTGGCTGATTATTTACCAGCCATATCAGCCGATACTGATCCAATCACCAATATACAGCCCAGCAGCTTGGAGAGCAGCGCCTAGCCAGTAAGTCTGCAGGAGAGAGGGAAGGGGTGTGGGGGGTGCAAATTGAGGCCCCCATGGTGAGGGAGGGAAGGGGCTAGGGTAGGGTCAGAGGCAGGCACTGCCCAGCGGCAGCAGGACACAGACAGGAGCTGTGGACAGCTCATGCAGGGAAGAGCTTCCATTGCTGCATGCATCCCTGGGGGAGGTATGGAGGGCACATGTCCCCTGGATTTGTGCATGCAGTACAAATCTAGGGGGCATGTGGAAATCCCGGGGGCTGCACCAGCCTCTTCTGGTGGGAAGGCTGGGCCAGGACTGCTCTTGAGTCAGGTGGTAGCAATGCTGGGAAGGGGGGATTACAGGATGGGCTACAGCCACTCCAAAGTTCTCCATAGTCCCACCCCCAGCACCACTGCCTGCCCTGCCCACCCTGAATGCAGCTCTGGCCCAGCCCCCCACTGGGAAGAGGCCAGTGCAGCCCCCGGCCCCAGCCCACAGTGGGCTGCCTGCCCTCACCCCACACAAATTCAGGGGGTTCACAAAGCTGTCTGTGGCTCCACCCCACCTTGGCTGGGCAGTGCCAGCCCCAACCCCATTCCCTCCCTCACCGTGGGGGGCGGGGCCTTGATCTGCGCACTTCTCCCCGCTTTTGACACTTCACAGATTTACCGGCCAGACACTGCTCTCCAAGCTGCCCAACTGCATTCCCAGTCATGTATATGCTGCGGTTGCACGCATGCACATGGCATTTATTGGTTACAGACAAAAAACTGACAGCCAATGATGTCAATTTTCCTTTATCAGTGCTGATACAATACGGACCAGTATATCTGTGCACTTCTAAACTGCATAACTTGTAAAACTTTGTAAACCAGAAATTGAAGATGTAAACAGTTTAGACTAAAGAAAATAACACTGAAAATACTAAGATTATCCTTACAGGGGTATAGGTTGTAGCCATGTTGATCTAAGGACAGAGGCAGACTAGGTTCTTTGGGTAAATCCAATATCTTTTATTAGACCAACTCAGATAATTCAAAAAATTCTTGTTTGTAAGCTTTCAGATATAAATACACTTCCTCAGGCTGAGGAAGCATCTGCAGTTGGTGTGCCCACTTCCTGGATAGAATGAATAACAAAGCCAGAGGCTGGTATGCATGCAAGCCAGTCAGTGAAGATGTAAATTGAGGAGTCAGTGGGTGAAAGACAGGTTGTGGGGAGGGGGAGGGGGATGAATGTAGCTGGTAAATAGTGGAGAGGTACCTGGGGAATGAGATGTTAGGCAGGTTATAGTGTGTCATAAATCCAAGGTCTATATTTAGTCCATGATTTTTTTGTATCCAGTAGGTAGATGAAATGAAGTTCGTAGGCTGGTCTGTGAAAAGGGATTTGTAAATTCCCTTTGAGGATTAGAACTGAGAGATTAGAGAGAGAGTGGTTTTTTTGTGGGAAATGTGCCCCCACAGGTAATTGGGTATTCGTGTCTTCGATAGATTTCCGGTGTGCGTTCATTCTGGTGCGCAGTTGTTGCTTGGTCTTTCCTACGTATTTTCCATCGTGGCATTTGGTGCCCTAGATGAGATATATTACATTTCTGGAGGTGCAGCTATAAGATCCAGGAGTGCTGATGGTTCTGCTGTGGAATGTAGTAATTGTGGGGGTGGTAGAGAGATGTTGGCAGGTTTTACATTTCTTGTCATGGCATGGTCTGGATCCATTTGGTGTGATTTAGGTCATAGGAAGTTTGCTTCTGGTGATGAGGTCAGCAAGGTTCGGTGCTTCTTTGAAGGCTAGGATGGGTGGTTCTTGGAAAATCTCTTGTAAGAATTGGGTCGTCTTCTACTATGGGTTACAGTTTGAGGATTTTCTGTATAGGTTCCAGGGACGGGTGATATGTTATAACCAGTGGTGTGCGATTCATGGGGGTTTTCCTTCTGTACTGCAGCAATTCTTCATGTGATATCCTGGTGGCTCTTTCAAAAGATTATCCTTGGTACTTTATTTACTCATTTCCGTTTTCTTTATATCACAGTTTATGATGCATTATTACCACAGAAGAAATTCATGTCTATAGCTTTTAAGGACTTGGTTACATCATTTTCAAGCCTGGTAGTTTTGGAATCATCATTGCAGCCCAAGACGCATCTATCTGCATTTCAATAACCGTCTTCATATAAGAAGATATTGAAAGTGACGTACTGTGCTTTAATACACCTGTATCATTGGATTATTCAAGATCCCCCAGTTATAAATTTACAGTTGTATTTATCAGGTAAATTAATTCCATTAGCTGTATATATGATTGATATCATTATTAATAATATTTTGTTAGTTCTTTGCAGGTAAGATGTAGCCAGAACATATCAAAGTTGCTTATCACATTTTTTAGAAAAAACGTAATACTGTCAAACTTTAACAGGACATTTTATTAGTAAACAAACATGGGTATAGTTAATCTCTGTAGTATGTCTACTGGAAATAAATTAATTTATGCAAGGATGTGTTTTCATTCCCTAGTCTATAAATGACTTGAAGTATTAAAAAAAAACTTTGCATTTTATGGTAACTCTTCAGTTATAAATTGAAGACTTAAAATGTTACCTTTATAATATATTAGATATGGCAAACTACATCTTATTCCAGTAGGTTTTTTGGGTAAATTTTAGGATAGGTGTTTCGAGAGGTACCATGTTCCTTTTGGCACTTCCAGAAATTACATCCTAACTTTGTCAGCTGTACATGGAATATCTAAACATGAAATGTAGAGCAGAGTAGAGATTAGAAGGTATCAGGTTTTAAAAGTCTATCCCTGTCTGAGTTTGTTATTTTGCTATTCTGTAATCATGTTTTCTTATATCTAAAAGTGGTTCCCCTTCAGTTGTGTTTACCATTCAAGTAGAACAATGAGTAGTGCCTGATTAAGACTAAACTGCGGAATCTGTGAATTGGGCTACACAAACTGCTGTCCCATGAGAAAATCCACTTTAACTGTTCTCAAATCATTAAGAGCAACTTTTTAATAATCATAAAAGGTGGTTGTAAGAAGACGAGGTAAAAGCTTTAAACATAAGTTATTTTTGATTTGATGGCTCATGCCTCTTGGCTGCAAAATTAAATGCAGCCAGAGAAATGTAATAGGGTTCTTTTAAATGCTTTAAATTTAGTTTTTAAATGTTTTGTACAGTTAGAAAATGTTTATGAAATAGGTTGAAACAAAGTGAAGTCCTTATACTTTCTTTCTATCAATTGCTCATATGCTTCCTTTGTGGAAAGATTAGAATGCATAGTTTTAGTAGAATTTCAAGAACTAGAATTTCAGTACCACCATTCTTTTGCTGTCATGCTGATCTAATAAAGTATAGGTTACATCAAACTAGTAAGATTAGATTAATTTAAAGAAAACGTACACATGTTGAGATGGAAATATAAATCTTACTAATCTCATTTGTCTGCTAATGCAGGACTCTTGACAACAGTATATTTTTCATAGCACCCATTCAGTCTTACTTCAAAGGTGTTACTGCTCTTCATTGTGTGAAGATTCCAGAAAATGTCTGTTATATTTGGAAAGAGGGTGCTGGTATTGAGAGAATATTGTTTGATAGTGTAGTGAAGTCCTCTGAACGTAAACTTTGCAAATTCTTTTGTTAGCCAAAAACAGCAAAATGATTCCTAATGGGTATTTGATGTTTGAAGATGAAAATTTCATCGAGTCATCTGTTGCCAAATTAAATGCCTTGCGCAAAAGTGGTCAATTCTGCGATGTACGACTCCAGGTAAATTAAACTTTGTCTGCTGGGTTAGAGAGTTAAATGATGTATTTATTCTCTCTGTATATATTGATTCTCTGAACCTTATTTAGAGAACCTGATTTATTCCATAGTGCGAAAGAAATTCTGCATTTGGGAGAAATATGGGGCCAGTTTCGCTCTGATTATGTAACAGAAAGTGCATTAATTTAGTTAATCTGGTAGTTATTCAGTTAATGAACTGTTAATATAAAATAACTTCTCTAATGTATAGATTTGAGCTATTTAGGTTTTCATCAGGGTTACACAGTGTTCTGTCTTTTTAATGCAGTATTTTTTTAAAAATCACTGTTGGCTAGTGTCTTAATTCCTCTTATTTTTTATTGAAGGTGTGTGGGCATGAGATGTTGGCACACAGAGCAGTCTTAGCTTGCTGCAGTCCCTACTTGTTTGAAATATTCAATAATGACAGTGATTCTCATGGAATTTCGCATGTTAAATTTGATGATCTCAATCCAGAAGCAGTTGAAGTCTTGTTGAATTATGCCTACACTGCTCAGTAAGTCTCTTCCTTGGTGGGGTCAGAACATAAAGCTAAATGTTTAGGTAATGCAGCTTGTTTTTCAACAGTGTTTAAAAATAAACTTCTTTTCATAGGTTAAAAGCTGATAAAGAACTGGTAAAAGATGTGTACTCTGCAGCAAAGAAGTTGAAGATGGAGAGAGTCAAGCAGGTATAATTTTAGCTGTAGTTGTAGACCTTCCGTAAACCTTTTAGGGGATGAAACACAAATTAACTTTATCTGGGTACTCCATTGTGATTACATCCTGGAAAAGTGATCTTTTTCTTTTAATAAAGAATACTTGTTGCTCAACAAATCATGCATCACATTCTTGAGAGTCGGGGCTTGCAGTTTGAAAAGACAACATCTTTTTTTACTTAAGCTGACTCTAAATTAATTTTTCCACTGGAGGACAAACAGTGCTTAAGTAGATGCTGACTTGTGTGAAGTGTGGAAACCATAGGTAGATTATTAACAAACTGCTAGTGATTTAGGGAAAAGTTACATTCCGTGAAATGTTGATAGAAAACCTGTTTTGCAACCTATCTTTTTCTCCCTATCCTATGGCATTTTTGTAAAAAAGAAATTGGTGTCACTGTTTTACATGTAACACTACAATAGCATTATCCCTCTTTTAAATATCTGTTCTTGTTTCAGGGAGATGTAAGTAAAACCATTCAATAGATAGAAAACTGAGTGTCTCCTGCATATGGGAAAATAAATGTACATGCTAAAGTGTGGTCATCCAGTAGACTTAGGATATGCTCTGGCCTTTTTTTTTTTTTTTTAAAGGTTTGTGGTGATTATTTACTCTCCAAGATGGATGTTCAGAGCTGTATCTCATACCGGAACTTTGCAAGTTGTATGGGAGATTCACGTTTGTTAAACAAGATTGATGGTTACATTCAGGAGCATTTGTTGCAGATTTCAGAACAGGAAGAATTTCTCAAACTTCCACGATTAAAGGTTAGAAGAATTTTAAATCTGCCTTACTCTACTAACTGAGATAAAACTAGGTAGTAGTGTGTGGGTTGGTTTGTTCTGGTTTTTATAAATTAAGTAAGGTAAGCTATGCATGTATATCAAGGGGTTCTTTCTTCTGGTAGAAAAATTTAGCACATGGTGAGTTTTATAACTCCAATTAAGTTTTGTATAGAATGCCAGTATAAAAGTATCAACTCCTTAATTTAGGTCATATTCCATTGTGCCATGCACATTGGCTTCCCAGGATACACACCATCTTCCTTCTTAAGAAAGCATAACATAGAATTACCTCTGTACTTCAAAATCCGAGAATGTAAAAATATGCATTCTATTCTTGGGGTATAAGAACACAGCCACTGGCTGACATGAAAGGTATAATTTTGCTAGTCTTAAAGAGTACTTGGTCTTTGCAATATCTGGAGGTGGAACAGAAACGTGTCTTAATTTATCTAGGAATAATAACATTTTTACATACTGACCAGGGTACAGTTTGTATCCTGTGGGTTTTTATATTAGCCATTAAACTATATTTTCTTCTGTTTTTAACTCCAGCTTGAGGTAATGCTTGAAGACAACGTTGGTCTGCCCAGCAATGGAAAATTATACACAAAGGTAATCAACTGGGTGCAGCACAGTATCTGGGAGAACGGAGACAGTCTAGAAGATCTGATGGAAGAGGTTAGTTTTTAAGAAAGTGGGATTGAACGGTTTTAAAAAATTAAGCTTCTGTGAAGTGAAGGATGATCCCTTTATTGATTTTTCTTTTTATTTTATTTTTTTTAACCATGACCCTAAAGAATTTAAATTTTACTGTAGGTACCCCTAAGCTGAGAAACTGGGGGGGTATTCAGGTGAGCTGAATGAAACTGTTCAGTCTGGTTTTCTGCTTTCCTTTTTTGCTCAGTATTTGCTGTTGACTTCCAAGTAGCATGTTATTTTGCTTTTGGAAATGGGGAGGTGGTACTGAAACTTACTGTAGATTCTTAATGTTTTCCTTCACAGGTTTTTGCTTGTAAATGAGAAGTAGGTAAAAGCTTCTAATGGTTGTTCCTCCCCATTGATTTATCTCCCCATAGGTTTATTAACAAAACTAGGATACCAAGGCTGAAGAACCAAGAAGAAACCTCAAGTGTATTGACACGTAAAGAAGCAGCTGTCCTGCCCCAGTTCTCCTAAGAAAATCCGCTGTGGGCAGAGAACGATGATGATGATTTAATGGTGTTTACTTACTCCTTTACAGGATTTCTTATTTAAAAGTTTTGTGTGTTGTTAAATGATTTTACTCATGAATACAACTACTATGTTTAGAATGGGCAAATTTTTGAATACTTTCGTTTGGTGAAAATCGTAGACACATTCCAAATTTTTACCCTGCTTGGAAAATTGGAGCGTAGAAAGCCACATGGAGCACCATAAAGTCTTTCCAGTTTATTATTACAGGCAAGGTAGATCTTCGGAACGCTCTTGTGTAGGCAAAAAATACGTGCTGATACTGTTGAATATTCTTACATGCATATTTCCCTTTGAATAACTGGTGTTAAAATGCTCTATGATTTTTGTGTTGCAGTTCAGATGCATTTGAGTAATGCATTGCATCTGGTATCTCATTTAAGCAACACTTTCTCCAAAACTTTTTTTTCCCCCTCATCCCTTTTACCTTCCTTTCCATAATCCATTGTCTGACTTCCCATATCTCTTTTTTCCTTAACTTTTCAACCAAGAAAATTACTGTATTTGCAAAAACTTTTGTTTTCAGAGGATAACAAGTTTGCTTGTTAGAGATTTGTTGATTTGTAAAATTCTGGAAGACAATGTATACAATGCTTGTCCTATATAGTAATGTTTATGTATTGGGGAAAAAGAAGTCCTTTGGAAAAATGAAGATTTCTTTCACGCTGAGAAAATGAGGAAAGTCCTTTGGAAAAATGAAGATTTCTTTCACACGGAGAAAATGAGGCCCCTTCAGCCAGTATTTGAAGACTTACCATCATGACAGCCGCTTCCTTTTAATTTTGTCATTCTGCTAGATTAAGATGAGATGACAAAAACTGTGCTGGAGATTACCTTGTGGAGTTTGTGTAATCTACCTTTAGTTAAGTAGCTATGGAGACAGTAGCCACATGGGTATTCTGTTGCTGTTTTGCAGGTTCAAACGTTGTACTACTCAGCTGATCACAAGCTGCTTGATGGGAATCTTCTAGATGGACAGGCTGAGGTGTATGGCAGTGATGATGACCACATTCAGTTTGTGCAGGTACAAATTGCACATAGTCTGAGGTACTCTGAGGTACTCAGTCTGAGGTTGAAAAGAAACAACAAATGATTAGGGCAATTTATAGCACGCCTAAATACATCGTATACTGTAGTGAAGGAAGCAGCAGTAGACTAATGGTGAAAGGAAACGGGGAAAAGCATTTTATGGAAAGGGTATTCTGACAGTGGTTCGTTTTACTTCAACTAGTTGTAACAAAATAAATTTCAAGTCTAAATATACGGTTCTAAAAAAAAAGTTAGTGAAGAACAAAGGTCGAAAGTGAGCATGCACGCTGGGTAGTTTATTTTTGTAGAAAGCGGTAGGAAATTTAGTTTACTGTGAAGTGACTGAGAAGGGTACAGTATTAGGGCTGTACATTTCCTATGGATATAGAAAATATGGATGCCACAATAGATAAACAGATGGCTACCAAAAAGTTTTCAGACATTAAAGAATTTGGAGGATTTTTTTAACATAAAGTCTAACAACAGCAGAAGTACTGTATTCTGATTTCCAAGTTGATCCCACATGGGAAAAACAATTTTTCCCCAGACATAAGTAAATAACTACAGATAAGTACACTGAGCTGCTATTACCCTTACAATATCCCACTGGAGATTCTGGTAAGCAGGTAAAGTATCCAGAGGGTAAAATGTACAATGTACTAGACTACTAGGATAAAAACTGCACTGAAAAAAAGTTTGAATTGGCATTTTCATTGCATGTACAATGGAGGCGGCTCATACTGAGAACGGGGGCTCAATCATAAGTGAATCCTGTGTCTAAGTAAAAAGTATGTTTATGGTTCTTTAGTAGGAGAAGAACGGTAAACTTACAAACAGGAAAATACAGTAATTTCTTTTCGTTTTGAGGCCAAATGGTACACAGTAATAATAAATTAAGATTTGTACGTACTCAGACCTGGCCTTAAATTTTATTTGCAAGTCGAGTTTAATTGTAGCTTTGTTTACATGACTGAAATGTACACGATTTGCAGTCTGAACGAGAAGTAGTCTCATGGAATAATAGAACGAGAATTGGGGCTCTTAGGTGGGTAGAGTTGTGCAGGAAATAGTGTTACTGAAAATCTGTAACGATTACTGTTGTCCCATGTTTTTATAAATGTCAAGTTCATACATATTCCATGGTGTCAAAGTCAAACCTTAACTACTCTAGGAAAGGAACTTAATACAGTGGTTCTCAAACTTTTTTTTTGGTGGACCACTTGAAAATTGCTGAGGGTCTTGGCAGACCACTTAATAAACTATTCTTGTTTTACAAATCAGAGCACAACTCATATTTTAATATCAGTAGTCTTACTTTTCTGCTGAGATGAATGTGCCTTTTTTTGAGCCAAGTTCTGGGAAGTCAGGTGTAATGTTTGTCAGCTTTAGCCTTAGGTCACCTTTCTGCAGACCACCTGAATGGAGCTTGCGGACCACAGTTTGAGAACCTCTGCAATTATAGGTTGTTGCATCCAAATTAGCAGTTACTATGTCCATCTTCAGTGGCCACTGGTTTTCATTGAAGAATAAGAAGTGCAAATGGAGAAGCAGTCTAATTTCATTAGAACTTGTTTAAATGTTTTTAATATTTGCTCAGAATGTGGATTTCAGAAGCTAAAGCATTATAGTGCGTTACAGATTTTTTGCTGTGTTTCAACGACATCTAAAGATACGCAATGTATGTAGAATGCAAGAGTCCATGCCTGCATTATAAATTTTGAGATTAGGGATTCTTTGCTATATAAAATTATTAATGTTGAATTCTTTTGTACTAACTCTTACTTGGAAAAATAGTGTGGTGGCATCTGAAATAGAGCAATCTTATTGTTTTGGATTAAAAAGTGAATATCCATGCAAAAGAGTAAGAGTGGATAAATAACATGAGCAGAGAGAGTTTGAGGCCAAATCAAAGTCTTAGTTAAACTGAATGTTTCTGAAATTTGAGGATAGATAATCCACTTTGAAATTTGAATGTTTGGCTCAAATTCTGAAGGCAGAGTTTGAAAATGTAAACCTCCAGTTCACGAACTAAGCCTGTGATGGAATGTGTATTTTCATAGATCTAAAAGATGTAAGATGTCTTAAAAATACTTTGTCTAATGGAAATGCATACTTGGCTAAAACTAAACTTGAAGGCATGATTTCTAATCTGAGACAAGGAATGGCTTAGTAGTGATAATTTGGGATTAAATAAATGTTCAGATGGGAGCAAACCCTCTTTGGATGTTGCTTTAAATATCTGAGCTGTTCTGTTCTTTGAAATTTAGGTGTGCTATAAATGATGCTCTGAAAAGGTAAAAAATGAGCATTTTCCTCAATGATATAGAGATTTAGTTCAGAGAAGTAAAGGTAGATCAAGATGTGGTCTTATGGCTAGGCTTCTGTAGCTGCCTTTTGATTTTGCAGAAAAAACCACCACGTGAGAATGGTCACAAGCAGATAAGTAGCAGCTCCTCTGGAAGTCTTTCTCCAAATGCCACTGTACAGAGCCCTAAGCATGAATGGAAAATCGTTGCCTCAGAGAAGACTTCGAGTGAGTGCCTCAGTTTCTTTTGTTTCAGGGTTTCCTGTTGCTCTTGAAGTATATAACCGCCTCATGAATACTACTGAAATCATTTCAATATGCCTATAATACAAAGAAGTATTGTCTCCATTTTCTTGCCCGAGTGGAGATCTAAGACACATGGACATTGGCTTCTACTCTATTACACAAGAAATATGTAATAGAGTAGAAGCCAAAGCACATATCTTTTGAATTCCAAGTCCTTAATCTAAATGTCTTAATTGGATTGAAGTTTGGAGCCTGTTTATAGAATCTCTAGCCATGTAAGGGTCTTAACTTGGAAGCCCCTAGTTGGTGTTTAAATATAGTAGTTATTTTAATTGTTGTAGTTTTTTTTTTTCAGATAATATCTACCTGTGTCTTGCTGTTCTGGATGGTGTATTTTGTGTGATCTTCCTTCATGGACGGAACAGTCCTCAGAGCTCTCCAACTAGTACTCCACGACTCCTGAAAAGTCTGAGTTTTGAGATTCAACCAGATGATGTTATAGAGAAGCCCATGTCTCCTATGCAGTATGCAAGATCAGGATTGGGAACAGCAGAACTTAATGGCAAGCTAATAGCCGCAGGTAAAAAAAAAAAAATAATGAAACCAAAAGCCCACTTTGGTTTTAAATCAAAAGTTTGCTTGTTTTAGAAAAGAATATGAATAGCTACACAGTATTTTTCATAATGCAGTAAATTTAACCCACAATTTTAGAGATTCTTCTAACCTTAGAACAGTTAATGTTCCAGGAATCAACATTTAATTTTATGCTTTCTTGTTTCTGACTCCTTGTGCCTTATCGTTAGGTGGCTATAACAGAGAGGAATGTTTGCGCACAGTGGAATGCTATGACCCCCAGAAGGACTGCTGGACTTTCATCGCACCTATGAGAACTCCAAGAGCTAGATTCCAAATGGCTGTTCTGATGGTATGTATGTGTTGTGTAATGGGACAGTGTTGCATGTTTACAGGGATGGGGGCTAGATGCTTAGACATGCATGTTTTAAAGTGTAGAATGTGGATTATGCATGGAGAGAAAAAAAGTGAAATAACTTGGGTATTAAATTCATGCAAGCATTTACTTGAAACTTGAAAGAATTAAGAATTTCTATGATGATATCAAAAGAAATGGTGTAGGCAGGCAGTGGTGTAATAGGCGCTCTCTGTGTTACAGGTATCATGCAATTAACTGGTTAATTGCACAACTACCTTGAGACAAGCTACACATGCAGAGTAGCTATTGCACAATAAAAAAATCCAGACAGCTATAAAGCTGGACCTCAAAAATATGTACTGCTATAGCTGGTTGCTATGATCTTTAATTTGCACATGTAGCAGGGTCTCTTCTATGGCTGGGAACCCCATGAGCTGTGGGTTCCCAGCTGCAGGGGTGTATGTTGCCCAGCCAGAGCTTTGAGTACTGATGCTGGGTCCCTGTTGTGTGCCTCCTGACAGTTTCTTTCCTCACCCCCCTAGAGTGCATGACACCCCAGGAGTGAGAGGATTGCTGCTTACACTGCAATCTCCCAGCTACTGGGGGTGGGGTGCCCCCGCAGCTGGGTCCCCCTTGGCTGAGGGGGCTCCCCACTGTGAGAGCTTGCTTCTTTGCCTGTGTAGGGACAGCCAGTGGGATCTAATGCATAATCCCACAGTTGTGCCTCTTGCCATGCACGTGTGGCATGACAGGAGGTGCAGCTGTGTGAATTGCACGTGAGATTCCATTGTGTCTTTACCTGCACGTGTAGAGGCCATAGTGTCATATCCCAGTTGTTAGTACAGTTTAGTATCTTAAGTTCCATACATTTGTCATGAGGCCTTCTAGTCTTACTGAGCTGGAAGTGAAAAAAGCACCAAACTGACAGTTTCTCAGTTGGATAGTTCCCTCTATCTTACAGCAAGAGACAATGCCTACTGGAACCTACGGTGCAAAGCTGATTCCTCACACTTGAGGAAACCGTTCATTTTATCAGTTTTGCAGTGTGCTTCTTGGTACCATGGTTAGTTGAAACGGTTTTTTAACAATGGTGATGCTTTCTTTAAACAGATGTAGAAATTTCTTGGATGATACAAGACTGTTCTTGAAATGTAACTGAATTTCCAGTAATTGAATGGTGATAGGCCCAGCTTTGTTTGGTATCAAAATATCTCTCTTATGGCAGGAGTCAGCAAGCTACAGCCCATGGGCTGTATCTAGCCTACAGAGCAGTAGTTTTGGTGCAGAGCTTTGCCCTCAAATCTTGTGTGAAACTATTTTTTCTTTCTTCTGTTTAGGGACATCTGTATGTTGTAGGTGGATCAAATGGCCACTCAGATGACTTGAGCTGTGGAGAAATGTATGATCCAGAAATAGATGACTGGACTCCTGTTCCAGAACTGAGAACCAACCGTTGCAATGCAGGTAATGGCTGTTTTGTTGCCTGTTTCCTGTCATCTTCCTATTTCATTTAGTAGATCACAACAATTTTTTTTTTTCAAATTCTTTTTTTTAATCAAAACAGGAGTATGTGCTCTGAATGGAAAGCTATATATTGTTGGTGGTTCAGATCCTTATGGTCAAAAGGGACTTAAAAATTGCGATGTGTTTGATCCTGTAACAAAATCTTGGATGAACTGTGCTCCCCTTAACATTCGTAAGTTTGCATTGTACTTAAAAGCAGATCTCTTACTCTGTTGCCTACTTAGATATGCTTATTTCTAATGAAAAAGTCCATTGTTATGATGACAAACCTGTATTGCAAATATCATGGTAGTGGATGACTTCTGACTGGTTTTAACTGAGTGGCATCTATTACAGGTCGACATCAATCAGCAGTATGTGAATTGGGTGGATATTTGTACATAATTGGAGGAGCAGAATCTTGGAACTGCCTGAATAGCGTGGAGCGCTATAATCCAGAGAATGACACCTGGATGCTAATTGCTCCTATGAATGTGGCTAGACGTGGAGCAGGAGTGGCTGTTCATGATGGTAAGCTTACAGGTTTTTCAAACGAGACAAAGTTTGCCTAAAAAATTAAGTCTAACTTGTGACAAGCAGACTTTTAATAGAACAAGGTAAATTGCAAAGCAAAATAACTGTTAGTGGATTTGTCCTTGCTGATGCTTTCTGGCTTTGACTTGTCACCTTCACTGAATATCTACCATCAGAATTTTGTGTGGTTTTTTTACCCCTTTTTCATGTTTCTAAAACATAACTGTGTAGTAGGTAGAGCAGTGGTTCTCAACCGGGGTGCCCCAAGGCCTTCTTGAGCTGCCACTGTGGCAGTGGCCAAGTAAAACTGCCCTTGCATTAAGGCTCTCTAATCAGCCTAAAGCAAACAACAAAGCTGCCTCATGCTGTGCAGTGCTTCTGGAAACGGGCATGGGTGGAACTGTCCCATATGCTTGTTTCTATGAGGAGTGTAGGGGGTGCCAGACCAGGTAGGGTTGCATAACATAAGGCAGCTGTAATGCAGGAGGAGCAAGCACGTCGTAACCATTGCTGGGTTATTTGCAGCTGGTATGTGGGGCATTTGTATCTGAAGGCAGCAAAACTCAGCTGAGGCAGCACCAGTAGTGGTTCTCAGTCTGGGGTGCTGCCACATTCACAAAAAAAAAGGCGGAGGTGGGGTGCCCTGGCTCTGAAAAGGTTGAGAATAACTGTCTAGAAAAACGTTTTTATGGAAATAATTCAGAAATAAGAATAGGCAGTCCTAATGCCCAAGAAAGCAATAGCTCGATACCCACAGAAGTACAGAACTTTGCAGTAATGAGAGATTTCTTTTAAATTCCCTTCCTGTCAACTTCTTTTATGGTAAAAAAAAAAAAAACAAAAAAAAACTTCTCTCAAAAATATGCCTAGAAGTAGTATTTTTATGCAGTGCGCTGTCTCTCAAAATTTATGCAGTTACATTTCAATCACACTTCCTTTTAATAGGAAAACTTTTTGTTGGTGGAGGCTTTGATGGTTCTCATGCTGTCAGCTGTATGGAGATGTATGATCCTTCTAAAAACGAATGGAAGATGATGGGAAATATGACTACTCCAAGAAGCAATGCTGGCATTACAACTGTTGCAAATACCATTTATGCAGTCGGAGGATTTGATGGCAATGAATTCCTGAATACTGTTGAAGTTTATAACCCAGAATCAAATGAATGGAGCCCATACACAAAGATTTACAAATTTTAGCCCATTTGAGCCCCCTTTTGAACTAACAGGCTTAGTGATGTAATTGTGTGTTAATAGAGGTACACATGTGAATAAAGTGGGGAGGGCATAGAAGTTGCCAAAAGCAACACAAAGCTTTTGCATATTGCATATTATTAATGTGCTGTATATATTTGTTTTGGAAAGAATATAAAGATGAAGGGTTTTTTGTGTATTTCAGAACTTTGTTCTAGATTTTTTTTTTTTTTTTAAGATCTTGAGGATTGGTATTGCAAGGGAAACTAAACTGATTGGGCATATCATTTCAGGAGCTCCCCCCCATGTTTGTTTTGCCAATTTGCACATTGAGTAATTTTTTTTATCAGAATGTGTTTCTGGGACAGGAGGGTAGGGGTTTGGGGTGTTAGGCAGTTTTTTCAGGCCTCTTTCTTTTTCTCTTAAGTAACTGGAACAATCTGTAACAAGAAGCCTTATTTAAATAGATATAATGGCTATTTTTTTTATTAAAAAGCTGACATGTATTTAAATAGATATAATGGCTATTTTTTTTAAAATAAAGCTGACATCCCTGCCAATACTTAACCTTTTATGATTGCCTTTTTATAACAGTTTTTATATACTCAGCAGAGTATTTTACCTGCTGATGTGAAAGTGGCAGTTAAGCGGTTATTCAAGTAGAGAGACAATCTTGGAGTTCATAAGCTGAGTGGGACACTAGATTTACCACTGTACATGAGCTTCTAAGCTTTTGCCTCTGCTACAGTATACTTATGCAACAGTGATATTTCATTAGATTTTGAATGGAGTTTCTGAACATAACATAGCTGTGACTTTTTAGTATTTGAAAATCATTTTGGCTCCAACTACTTTGACAAATGCAGAGAGGTGCTTTCTTTACAGCAGTTTTGTTACAACTGTTGAGCTAACATTTATAAAAGTAAAACACAAACCAATTGTGTATTCTCATGTTTTTAGACTGATGCTAGTAGGTAATGAAAGCATTTATCCATTTAAATTAGTAACTATTTTTCTAATACTGCAAGCTAGATTGTGCTATAATACAAACTGTATTTGATTCACAAATGCTCATAGTACTATGTTTTGGTTCATTTTCTCTATTCAGATGGATAAAGAATATTGGTTGGGATGACTTGGTGTCTAATGTATAGTGCTGCACATCTAACTTTTGGTGCCAAAGTTAGCACTTAATGCTTGCTGCTGACGCAAACACATTAAAGGTACCTTTTGGAAAATCCTTGCACCACAGGATTGTAGTTGTGTCCTTCTTTCATGCTACAGTTTAACTGCTTGGTAGTTACTTAACATGAGATACAGTAGTGTCTCCCATAAAAGCACGCTCAGTTTCTTTAGCTAGTCTTAACTTAGTAAAATAAAATGAAAGCTAGTATGGTACTGCAGTGGAGCTTGTGGCCATAAACAGACATTCAGCTTTCACTGGGAGAGTTGCTACTCTTCAAGTAGAAACTGCGAGTGTACAGATATTCAGGATTTTTCTTTGGGAACAAAAACGGTTAAATCACTCGCTCCTGCAACAGCAAATGTCCGAGCACTTTCCCTTCTGAGAAAAGATGGAGCACAGCCCTCTAACATCCCAGGATGCTTTGCTCCTGCATTCCCCCCCCCCCCCTCCCCCCCGGCAGCAAGCTGCTTTGGTTACATTATGTTAAACTAGCAGGGAATAGAAAACCCTTCCCTCACATATTCATAATCCCCAGATTGTACTGCAAGATTACAGGCTGCCTGTGTGTATTGCTGCCATCTGTCTCCAGGCTTCTGTTGGAAGATCAAAATGTTACATTAATACTAAATGTTACTTCAGACATGTTCTGTGGTCTTCAGTGGATCTACCTTTCTTTTAAAACTGTATAAAAGCTTATTGAATTTCATGCTTAAAATATGGTAGCAGGTTTAGGCCACGTGGCTAGGAACAGTTCCTAACAACACATGAGCTGTACCAAATTAGTTTCAGTAAATAGATTGGGGGATGGTGAAGGGAGAGTGGGAAGGAAGGAAAACCTCTTAAGTAGCACTGCAATAAAAAGTATGGGAAACAGGCACCTATGTAGTGTTATGCATAATCAGGTAATTATGCCATTTCAGTTATATAAACTTGCAAGTCCTATAGCCTAAGTATGCAGCTGCCAAAGACAATGGGAGGTACATACAGGATTGAGAAGTAAGATTGACAGCAAAAGTAGAATAAAGTTTTTCAGTGTACAATATAAAAAACAGAATGAGACACTTAAGTTTTGAAAAAATGAAGCTCTTTCACTTATTTGAATTCAGATCCCAATTTGGTGGGGAGGAGCATCAGTATAAGAACCACAACAAAAAGGGACATACTTCTCTCCAAGTCAAATGGCTAGCTAAATATTTAAAGCTCTTAAGGGATGCAAATCATGCTGGTGACTTGATATACTTTAGTTAAAGAAAGATGGTACATTAAGCAGCTTAGAATTTACAGTAGTTTATTTACATACTCTTAATAAATATATTCTTCCAATAAAGATTTTACAAAACCATTTAAGAATTAAAATATCAAAATAACTGATACAATTATACATTGCATCTGTCATCTCTATACAAAAAACAAATACAGAGGTAGCTTTAACGGCCAAAAGTAACACCTTGTGTTTAAATTAAGTGGTTTTAGAGAAATTTCTCACCTGATATTCAAAGACACTAAAGGGCAATAAGGCAAAACATCTGAAGGTAAACTGCAAAGTTAAAAGAATGTGTGTCCTTAAAACAAGATGAACTGGAAGGGGGAAGACTTTTCCATGACAAATTACCACCATGCTAGGCATTGCACTGGATGCCTAATAAGACTTGACTTAAGGAGTCACAGGGTAAGTTATTAAAACCCATTTCTCTTGCACAGGCAAAAGTTCCCACGCAGTACTGGAAAGTGGGTCTCTACCACCTACCAGCTGCTATGTATTAATAGCATGCATGCTCTTACCAATAGGCCTGCTTAACCCTCAACCTACGCATCTGAAATTGAATGTAAAAAATCTGATATTCAATTGTGGGTGAAATAGGGGATAAAGATCTGCATCAGTCTGAGGCCAATGCACACAAGAAATGACAGACTTAGTATTCTGGACAATTCGTTAATAGATTTTAAAATTGAGAAAAAGAACAGATCATTTTGAGACTGACCACACCTTGTTTTTCTATCCTTTGTCCCCTCTTTAATTTTGCCTACATGATATAACAGCACAAGAGATTACCACTTTACTGTAGCTGAAGATAGGATCCTAAGTCAAGGTGAAAGTTCAAAGCATTCATAGGGGAAAAAAGGTAATTTGGTTAAGTGTGATAGCGGAAAGCTAAAGTGAAAGGTTGTCCTCTAATGTGTAATAGGTAGCAAGTAGCATGGCTTTGGCATAAAATGAAACATTAACCTGTAACACTGGTGTTTTACACGTTGGGCCTATGGTCTCCAGTTAGATCTTGCACCAGACATGTGATCTTGTTCTTTATAACAAAAAGGAGTTAAACTTATGTTGTGGTCCTTTGTACTAAAGTTTCAGTGACATGCGGGTCCTAGAAATATGAAAAAGCATCAACTGATTATTTTTGGAATTTACATATTTAAACAAGTAGTTTAACAGAATTTTGTATGCCAAGTTGTATCTCAAAGGCACCTTTTAACATTGTATCATGAACTCAGACAAGTTCTTAAGGAAATTCGGAAAAATCAATGCTCTATTTCTGATGACCAGCAACAAAATCCCCTCTTTCTGCTCAGCTAGTTCCAGGAGTTGCCTCAAATATACTACTTTTTCTCATGGTCCTGTTTAAAAAAAAAACAAAAAAAACTGTACTAGACGTTGTTCTACTAACAAAAATATTTTCCATTCTTTTCAAACAAAGAGCAGAGAGATTTGAAAGAGAAGGGAGAGAACATTGTAGCCCAAAGCCTTTAGTCAGTGAACTGTAGTCTCACAGCCAGCCTCTGTTCTTCACCTCTATGTGGACAGATGTGTTGCACTGTTTAATAGCAGCTTCCAGCTGAGCTAGTTGATAGCATCCAACTGTTAACCTCTCTCTAGAACAATGAAAAAAATGTACATTAATAAAAGTAGCCGGTCAGGACTCATTTAAAATAATAGACTTCTATTAAAAAATAAAAATGCAGAGAAAATTCTCCTTTTTAAAAAGAAGTATTTACTTTTAAAAGTAGTGGCCTAGTTTACATAGATGCTAAAGTATTTGATTTCCTTAAAATGGGAGTGGAAATTATACTAAGGAGCTCTGAAAATCCAGTCAAGATGATTAGCAGCGTCTTTTTCATAGTACAGATTTGTTACAAACCCAGCTAAATGCAACTTTCATTTCCAGCTAGCATCATTTACGAGATCACTTTCACAATCCATGACATTAAATAAAACACTGAAACTGTATTTGGCAAACTCTTATATACAAAAGCAGAACACGCAACTGATTTTAACTACAATGCTCTTGTTTTTCACTTAGAGTTTATATATAAAATTTTAATTACAAAAATTAAGTCAACTTTGCCCCCACCCATACTGTTTAAAACTTCCCTTAATTTTTCCTAAGAGACCTCATTACTCCCATCTCAGCAAAGTACTTACACAAGCCCTCCTACTTCAGTAATGCTACTTGTATGCACCAAGTACCTTGTTGAACTGAGGAAATACTTCAGTTCTTAGTTATCGGATTCACGCAGAGGTAAATGGCAAGGTTATGAAACTTGAGAACAAGCTACTCCTGACAACCAGAGCATACAACAGAATGCATCCTCCCATCCTGTAGGTTCATTTATAGCACCATAAGACTTGTCTGGATGCTCTGTAAGATCTGTGACCTTATTTTGCACTGTCTATGAACAATGAATGTACATTATATCACTGTGGCACTTAACTGCTGTAACCTTCCATTAGTAGAAACTTTAGAACTTAACTATTTGACACGGCTTAATACACTGCTGGTTCCCAGAACAGGTACTGTCAGACTTCAGGATGTGTATGTGGAAACACTATAGACAATAGCCCACTGTTCTAACATTAAAAGAACAAAGACTTAAAACTGCGCTTCATTTTTTCATCGTTTGTTTTAGTCAATGAAAGCTTAACCTAGATAAAAATAGCAGCTCCTCTATATATTGGTAGTGCAGACAAATAATAGATGCAGATCCTCAACTGTTACAATTTGTTCCATGGACTTTACTGGAGATGTAACTGTACCCCAGCTGAGGATCTGCATGGGGACAGAGATGCCATTTTTAAATGGTGCCTACTTTGAATGCATTCATAGAGGTTGATCCAACTTATACCAACCCCTTTTTCTGACCAAAATGAAATCTTCCATTATTTTAACTACCTGAAACCTAATGTAAAGAAATCGAGACACACTTTTAGTGCGCCTGCAAAACAGTAATAAAATTTAGAATTTTGCCAGAGTTCAGGCAGAGCTATCTTCTCCCTCCTTTTGTTTATTACAGCTACACATAGATTCTCAGTTAATGACTGGAAAGTGTGTGTGTGTGTGTGTGTGCGCGCGCGCGTGTGCGTAAAGTCATAATTTGAAACTTAAGCCTTCGTAAGACAGCTAGCTATTTTTCCAGCTCTAATTATATATGGCTTGTATTTTCTTCTACTGTGGTCTTGTTTCATATATCAAAAGGCAAACAACAGAAATGAACCAAAAAATATTTAGCTCGAGTAGCCACTACGTAAAGCTGGCAAATACTGAAAAACCTAAAAACCAAACCATGGTGTTCTCAAACAACATTCATTTTCTTCGGATACTTTAGCAAGCAAAGTAAAGTTGCATCAAATTTTACTAACAGTTAATATTAAGTGTTACAGATTTTCATACAAACACCATTCAAATTTATGCTAGCAAATTGCAGATAGTGCAGCACACATGCTGCAAAACAGATGCCAAGAACTCCACACATCCAGTTGGAAAGCAAGCAGTACATCATCTGTCCTTTGTGTTCAGTCAAACCAACTAAAAAAAACTTGCAAGTGATTAATAATTGTTTGAAACTTCTGAGAAAATTTGACGCATAACTTCTGCAATCTGTTCACACACAAATCGTGAATGAACACATCTGACATTTGTTGAACAAACTAATTATCAATTACCGGGCCCAACCTAACTGAACATGTCATTGTCCATGGACAAAGCTTGAAACCAATCTTTTGTCCAAAGAGAGAAAATAAGTTTAATTAGTATTGTCTTCTATCTTAAAGTGAACCTGGCAGGGGGAAATTATATTATGCAGCTGCCATGTGTAGGATTATACAACTAAATTACTGTAAAACTACAAAGAAGCACTAATTATTGTTTTTCATAAATCAACTAAAATAAAGGCCACATGTAAATTATATGCAATTTGTCTCTATGGTAACCCATTTGCAACACAGTATACAAACAACAACCACCAGACATCTTGGCTTTGGCTTCTTCAACTACAGGTGGTGGTCCCGGAAGATGGACTGCTTGGGAAGGGGGTGAGGGGGGTCATCTGACAAAGAGAGGGAAGAGTTTCTTCCCAATACGGGTTTGCTAACCTAGGAGGGCTTTAAACTAGGTTCGCCATGGAATGGAGGCAGAAGTCCAGCGGTAAGCGCCCCAAGCAGGAGCAAATTTATGCTGTATTTTTGGAGGAACTTTCTGGCATTGAAATAGGCTACCTAGAGAAGTTATGGAATCTCCATGCTTGAAAACTTTCCAAAGTAGTTAAAGACAGACACTTGGCTGGGATGGTTTAGTCAGGGATGATCCTGCATTGAGCAGGGGGCTGAACTAGATGACCTAGTGAGGTCTCTTCCAGCCCTGTTTTCCTATGATCCAATGATCTTCAGTTTGTGTCAACCCAGTGATTTTGGTGCCTCGGCACAATGAAATTTTCTTGCCACATGAGAGCCTCTTGCACAGCGAAGGTTTTTGCTGCGCAGAAGAACCTCGGTGCAAGAGAGTTCCTGCCAATTTGCAGGATGCATTTCTTCTTTGCAGCACAGAAATGCACGGTGCAAAGAGTTCCTGCTATTCGAATGCAAATTTGTGTCCCGCTATTGGCCAGTTCTAAATTATTCACACGTGGCGGCTAGTAATTGGCTCGCTGGCCGTTTAAAAATTCGCGCGACTTCCGCCCAAGTCGAAGAACTTTGAGCATGCTGCAGGGTGCCTCTAAAGAGATCTGACTTGCGGCTAGCTGATCGATAGACTGATCACCTATCGATCCTTCTTCCCGTCGCCGAGCGCAATCCCAGACGTACCCTTTTCCCGCCGGCTTAAATTGCGGACGGATTAACTGGCTTGGGCCTCGCCAGCTGGAACAACTCACATAGTTGTTCAGACGACCGGACCATCTGCGTCGCAACTACAAGCGGCGTAAGTAAAAGTTTTTGCAACCATTAAACCTTGTCTGCCTCTCCATTCACCAGCCCGCCCT